TGAGTCTGTGTCAATCCATAGTATCTCCATAAATTTTATTTTTGACCCAAATCCACAATCTATGCTACTGTTCACATGCGTTGATATAGTTATATCACCTAAAAAACATTAAACATTAAAATACATTTAATATTCCAAGCTGTATCTGTTAGAATGCATATTTTCATTTTAATGCTCACTCTTTGGTAACAGCCAGTCGCTGAATTTCTGTCTATTTTTATTTGCAAACAATGCGTTTTGAGCTTTACTGAATTTGAAATATCTAGCTTCATCCATGGACTTTGTCAAGAGTTCTGCACGAACATTTCTCTGTTGTTTAATCTCATCAACAGTAGATGCATCTTTGAAGAGTTCACCGTTGTTGTCAATTAAATTCAGAAAACTATGAAACAGTCCCTTAGTCTTGGAATTTTCAAAATTTTCAGTATTTAGGATATCCTCAGGCATGTCATTATCCAATGTTTTGTTCAAAGAAGACTTATATTCCTTTAATTCTGTAATACAAATGTTTGGGTAAATATTTATCTTGATGTGTTCTGGAACTAAAAAATAACGTTACACGTGCCTAAATATTTTATAAGTCACTGCAATTTTACTTTATCATTGCACAACAAAAAAATTAGATCCTCTGCACAGATGCTGGCACCCTTCTTTGAAGTTCCTCGTCTTTCAGAAACATCGCACGTCTTTCTTACAAACCATCTCCAAAACCATGCATCATTTGTCGAATTTCTAAAATATGTTATTTATGTTCTAAACGACATTAAATTTGCAAATTTCAAATTATAAATACCGGTAGTATAATTCACAGGTTCATTTCGAACAAACTGCGATTCGCTCGCTGATTTCGAAAAAGTTGATTCAGCCATTGTTGTTTACTGGTTACAGATTTTTCTTTTATAAATAAGGGAACAAAAACATCGATAGATTTTACAGAAACAATATCAGTAAACACATTAGCAACAAGGTTAAGTGGTCACATTGTATATCGCTATGATCAATGATTGCTATGATGATCTCAAGTCTTAGACGATATGATCTAAAACAGTTTAAAGGTGATCTAAAAGATTCAAGTGAACTGTCATTTTTGCTGATTCGATAACAACTGATAACAATTGTAGGTGAATGCAATGACAGTATATCTTATTGTAGGATATCTCCGTTTTAATCCTAGCATCTCTTCATAGAGGGCTACGTTTCTCGTTTGTTGTTCCATTGTGGATCGTTTGTATATAAACTGATCGATTGCAGGATTGAATCGGTGGGTTTGACGAGGGTGCGCAAACGTACTCGCATGGTATAAGTTGCGCACGTGATCCTTGACATAACCTTGACTATGTACACAATCGTGCATAAGATGGTGTGAACTGTGATGAACGGTTCCTCCACGTCACGTGTTGTTGTTCTTGTCCGTCGCTAATTCATATGAAATATATGATGACTTCGGAAATTGGTTTGTTCGCTCTACTTCCAGTAAAAAAAATGTAAGGGCAATCCTCGTCGAACCCTTTACTTTTTGCAGATCTTTTCTTAAAATTTTTTTTTTAAGATAATTTCTTATTAAAATTTATGCATACTTCTGTTTGCTATACTATATTTACAACNACTTTTTGCAGATCTTTTCTTAAAATTTTTTTTTTAAGATAATTTCTTATTAAAATTTATGCATACTTCTGTTTGCTATACTATATTTACAACAAGCATAACAATCTTTTAAACAACAATCACAAGAAAATTTATTGAAAAAGCCGTCGAGAAACTGTCAATCTTGTAAAGTCTTTTCAAACTTGGTCGGTAAAGAAAATATTAATATTTGTTAGAATACAATGCAACATGTGATTAAATTGTATTGATTTGATTTGTTGCTCTTTCATATAAAACTTCTTCGGTGCTTAGCGCAATAAATAAATCAGAACTAACTGTATTGCAATGTAATTTACAAGACTTTTTGATAAAAATTTTCGTTACGTTTGGAAAAGAATTGTGGTATGTTGTGCGCAACTGTTCTGTTTGTCTTTGTTCATGCGATAATACATGCGTATTGTTTAATATTATGCTAATTTTTTTTTATTAGAGAAAATATAAAAAGAATGTATTTACTTGATTTATACAGAATTTAGTTTTCTGTGAAATTTACTTTAAACAGTTTTTTAAATATATGTATACAAAAAAGGAAAGAACTACAAGAGATAACTATCATTATCCGTGGACCGATTTTGTTCGAAATCTAATCTGACGTTGCGATGAAAATATTAAATCTGTATACATTGACTCGAACACGATATTATTAGCAAAATTATTGCTCCTTTTTATTGTTTATAATAGTATTATTGAATCAATTGTTTTTTCTCATATATTAAAGTACTTCTTATAGTAAGTAGAAACATAAATTTTGTTTATTTATTACGCATGTACTTTTGTATAATAAGCGATAAACAAGATTGTGACAAAATTTAACGTCGCAAAAATATTCGGACAGTGAAAGAATTACATTAATTTCATATAAAATGAAAATCTTTTTAATCATGTTATCTGTATATGCGCGATGTTTCCAAATGGAATTAAGTTGAACGAAGTCGCTGGTTGCTTTTATGTACACTTTAATATTACAGTACAGCTATGGTCTTAGCGATGCGTTATTTGCGTTCTATCAGCGTTCTTAGAGTTCTACGAGTTCTGGGAGTTCTAACAGTTCTGACTAACGTTCTAGGTGGCCTTCCGCTTGTCACCTCGGTTTTTTTGTTGATTGGTGGATGGTGGGTTTTGGTGGAGGAAATGAAGCGTTTTTGATTGGAGATGGGTGTGTCGGAAGGAACTTGAAATGAGGAGTGGGAAACTGTTCGAAAGTTCGGGTTGTAATTTTTCCGTTTTGTGAAATATGGAATTTATGAGTCGTGTTGTCCGTTCATCGGGTCGAAGGGTATTTTCGTTCGGATGCATTTTTTACTGTCGCAGGTATATTGCTTAATTGCTCAAGGGATGGCCAGGGACGTTCGACCTTCGGTGTTGCCGTCGCAACAATATCATAATATTAATATTTTTTGTCGGTTGACGCTTTTGTTTTATTATTTCATGTAATCGCTTGGGCTTGTTACAGATAATTTTATTTAAATACTCCGGTGAAATCCGTTTCCATTCGTCTAACAAACGTTGTTTTAACTCTGTTGTTGTCCTTGTAGGTACTGTACGAATTTTGTGGTCCAATTGATCCCATAAATTTTCAATCGGATTTAAATTAGGCGATTGAGGAGGCGAATGTAGTACTTTTGGACAATTGTATAATAAATATTCCTGTACAATACTAGACTTATGTTTAGGATCATTGTCTTGATAAAACTTAAAACTGTTATTTAACGTATATTTATAGCACTTGTAATAAATTTTTTTTTTTAAATGTCTAAATACTTCATTTTGTCCATAATACCATCGACAAAAACTACATCACCTGCACCTGCAAACGAGATATAACCCCACACTTTTCACTCCCACCACCGTGTTTCACTGTCGGTCTTCAATTTGAAATATTTAATTCTGTGTTTACTTTACGCCGCACCATTTTTTGACTGTCGGATCCGCAAAGATTAAATTTACTTTCATCCGAAAATATTACATCATTCCATATTCTTTTGCAAAGCTCAATCTTTTCTTGCGATTTGCTTAATTTATGTATGGCTTTCTACGAGGAACTCTTCTGTTGTAACCATAGGTTTTTAATACCCGTCGTACAGTGTCCAGGTGTACCTTCTTCCCAGATTCTACGAACAACTTCTTTGTTAATTTTGTAGCACTTTGTCTAGAATTTTTCTTTATTTTTCTTATTATCTTGCGTTGGTCGCGAGAGTCTAGTAATTTTGGACGATCTTTTTGAGGAATTAAATCGATTCAATCCTCACGAATATACCAACGTATAATATCTACCACACTACTCTTGCTTATATTTAATAATGTAGCTATATCTCTGTATAATTTTCCCTTTTCCTTTTGATAAATAACCAATTGTCGAATTTTTATTTGTTTATAAACAAATATACATAAAATACAAGGAAACGTGTGCAATAAATAAACAAAATTTATGTTTCTACTTACTTTAAGAAGTGCTTTATTATATGAGAAAACAATTGATTCAATAATACTATCATAAACAGTAAAAAGAAGCAATAATTTTTCTAATAATATCGTGTCCGAATATTAATGCGAATCACTGTATAAAGTTCTATTGAAATCCATTCAACTGTTAAAATGCAATTGTGTTAATAAACATATAAGAAATGGAAGAAAAGAAATAATAAGTAGAAAAAAAAGAATAATTAAAATGCGCTTTTCTATAATAATAATTTTCATTGAAATTTTTTTACTTTAATCAGGAACTGAAAATATCTAGAATATTTGAAAAGCATAAAATAGCATACGGCCACTCCTGCCCCTTATCGTTGCAGCTATGAGGGAATTTCAAGAGCGAGAGAGGACTCTCATTTGCCTTCTCCCTCGACTCCCGAAGTTATCCGAAATGATCCGAAGCATCAAGCTCACGTACAAGCGGATCGTGAGGCAGGGTGCATGCGCCAAGTTACCAAAAGCTTGTCACTCCACCGTCGGTGGCGCTGAGATATAATTAGAATACAGGTACTCTTTCCAATAGTACCCCCTCCACGAGTCCGTTGTACCGGTTTCCATTGCAATCTAGTGCTGTCATGTTTCGTGATAATGTATTTATGTGACAAAGTTGTTATAAATATTTATTCTTTTGAAATAATTTATAAGTTGTGAAAACTTTAAGAAAAGCAGAATTCATTCATTATGGTGATTCTAAATCTATGAATTATTATTTATTAATAAGTGCAATTTAAAAAGTTGCAAGAATATCAAATTTAATATTTTATGTGTATTTTCATGATAATAAAGAAAATAATATGATTCTATGGAATGGCCGAACTGCATGTAATTGGCCAAATTTCGTCTGCAATAAGTTTTAAACAATCGCGGCTTTTATGCAAGTGGAGTTTTCATGCCGGTAATGCAATTATTATTGTATAAATAATTATTATTAATTTATTTTCGAGTGTAGAGAATGTACATTTGTTATAGGTAATGGCTGGAAAATTTTAAATGGTTGTGAAGAAGGACAGACACAAGAAAGTAGCGATTTATATACAAATGAACCATTTTGGGATCATCCAATAGATATACATTATACAACACAGTCTCTTCAAAATTCACCTAAACTTTTACTTCAAGTATTTTGCAGAGATACATATGAAAGAATATTATTTACATCATATGGTGTTTGTAATGTTCCATTATCCCCTGGCTCGCATTCCATAGAATGTCATACATGGAAACCAATTGGTAAGTTAAATATGTTTTTAAAAAATCTTATACATTGTTTGATCAGTCTATGTATATATATATATATTATATTTTTAATATAAATATTTCTATAGGTAACTGGAAAGATAGACTGAGGGACAAATTCTTAGGGATAACTTTACAATTAAAATCACCAAACGTTTTAATTAATTCTTTGGATCGATTTGAGTTACTTACAGAAAGTATGGGAACAATTAGAATAGAATTGCATATACTNAATACTGCGACAACCTTCGGCGTCGCGTCGCGCCGGCAAATAAACTAGAGGAGCACGGCAGGATTTTACGCGTGCGGCCGTGCGGTTTTTATTAAAAATGCTTAAAAAATATTAAAACTTAATGCAAACGTATCAATATGGTTAAGAAACCATTTATACTACTATTTGTTTACCTGGTGTGTAATGAAATAATATATGCAAAAAAGATTGAAGAAATATTTACCTGTATTAATGAAACAGAGTGTAATGATTTAGTAGAAAAAGATGCAATACATGATTCATTATCTACCACAATCAACAATATTTATACTTTACCTAGTGATAGTTCTAATAATTTTATAGACTCAACAGAGAGTATAAAAATTCGTATTATACCAAGTAAACAAACACCTCATAAAATAAAATCTAGTAATGAGATAAGAAATCATTCTATACATAAAATATAATA